CCACAGGTGCTCCCTGATTCCAAGTTGCTAATTAAGCATCTGAAGCTTGTTTGGCAGGGAGGTCACTAGGTGAAATGTAGACTTGTGGTACCCTGGTTACACTGCATCAGAGAAGCCTTTGGGCAGATATGCTTGGTGTATATCGTGTGACTTGCTTTAGCGTAGGGATTTGGGGCCTTCTCCAATGTGAGATGGAAGTTGGGGGTGGGGCAAGTGATGTTTTTTTTTCTGTTCAGTTAATTGAGACCTTCTTGCCTTTTCAGTTGCTCTGCACTCTGGCAGAGGAGGCATTATAAGTCGGGATTTTTGGTGTTAGGTGTTTTTTCATCATCAAGGTATGTGCCACTTTCAATCTGGAGAAAGGATAACTCAATAACAAATAATTCCAAATCATTCCCTTTAAAGAGTAATGAATAGGTATTACTTCTGAATTTTAGGTAATGATTTGAGGAAATGTTAAACTTGCTTGTTTTCTGACTCTGTCATCTGACTCCTAATGGATGACCTTTTCTTGTATAGATTGGGTGTTTTGGGTTTCTCTGGCTCTTAGTGGGAAGCTAACTGGGTAGATGGTCAGAGTTAAGTGTATGATTGGGTTATGACTTGAGGGAACATTTTGGTGGTGTTTTGCCTGGTTTTGACCCTTTGAAGTTTAAGGACTTAAGAGGTTGGAGGATACTCCTAAGTTACTGTGTTCAGTCATCCCGATAGGATTTTTGTCTCATGTAATTATTCAATGGTTACCCCCACCAATGGTTACCCCCAGTGGCCAGTGACTGTTAAAATAAGCTGCTCCTGATAGTCTGAGTTATTCTTCAAGAAAAGGATCGAGCCTTATTCTGCTGTGTATTTGAGTACTTGCTGCAGGGTGGCTGGTAGACTTCTATTTAAGCTTTCTTAACTTAGTTCACATGGAGTTAATATAGAGAGAAGGATTTGGAAGCAATGCACTGTGTAGCATCTGCTCAGTGTGCCAATCTTCTTCCTTCAGGTGCAGATCTATTCCTGTCATGTGCTTAAAAAGAAAAAAAAAATATAAGTGATCATAGAAAACTGATGTTACATGGTGGGAGAGAGGAGATGAGAGAAAGTGGAATATATGCCCTGGCTTTACAGTTTTCTTCTGGCCTCTCTTTCCAGTCCTGTGAATGACTTGCTATGGTACAGGGCAGCCACTTGGATTTTCTTTTGCCGTGTCTTCCACCCTCTGTAGCAGTTGTGAGAGATTTCATTTGAGACTACAAATGTCCCTTGATCTAGGTGTTCTGTGCTTTAGCTCATCATACAAATGCAAAGACCATGTGAAACAGTTTTAAACTTTAAAGGTTTTCCTTATCATTCTGGCATGTGATAAAGCAAATGTTACACCATTTGTGAGCTCATCTATACTATATTTGTGCATCCATACATGAATAGTTTTTAAAAATGTCTTGCCCTGTGTGTTTTAATGTTTGGAGGTTTTTTTGTATTCTGTATTTTGAAATAAATAGATCAGATTTGTTTACAAAGCACCCAGATATCGACAGGTGATGGTAGAGAGCATTAATAGGGTGAACAATTGGATTCTGCAAGTGGTACATGATGTGCCTTTTCCCTAGCCTGATGGTTAGGGTATTTATTGGTAGGGCTTTAAACAGCCATCAACAGTTCGGGAATTGTTCTCGGAGTAGGGACCAGTCTCTAATCTCCAATTCATTTTTATTTAAGTGATCAATATGGGTAAGCTATGAATGAAGGAATTATTTTGCCCAAATAACTTGGGACATCTGCTGCTCTGTAGTCTTGTTGTCAAGGAAGGAATGTTGGATGAAATCCTATTTACTCTGTAAGTGTTAATTTGCTCTCGTTATCGTTCCATCTGTAAGCTATTCATACTTTACATAAAGTGCATGCTTGTGTGGTAAGAATTAACATGTCTAGAGTTTTTTATCAGAAAGTTAGAGATTATATAATTGTTCACCCCTAAAATAGCGAAAACACAGAAGGTGGAGGAGAAGGCTACTTGTAAGGCATTTCATATGATACTGTAATGCTCATCCTGCATCAGCTTCCTCCTGTGGGACAAACAATGTCTTATCTTGGTTTAGCAAGGTCTCTGGAGTCTTCCTGGTTTCTTGTGTTGTTTTTTTTCTTTTTTTTTTCTTTAGGAAAAACATTAAGTCAAGTCTTGTCATCTGGATATTTTATGTAAAGCTAACTTGCAGTGCCTGGCAGCAGTATATGGAAAGGATTGATACTAGGGCCAAAAGGGAAGAGCTTAAATATTATTGAAATCGTGACCCAGTCCGTTTTGAAGCAACAGTGGAACTGGGACCATAATGAGAATTTGTAATTACTGTGCAAGTAAGTTTCTGTGGTAAATGGTAGTATCCTGACCCTCAAACTTCTGTGTGGATATTTGGTGCATTCTTGAATTCAGAAGAACCTATCACCTGCATGCTGATTACTGTAGTGCTAACAAGGCATCTGAGGTCTGCAGTCCTTGAGGAGCTGCTGCTTAGTGTCTAGGAGCTCCTCCGGTGCCATCATACAGAGGTTATTGCAATTCCCCTGTGGGAATTGTGGTGCACTTCGAATCCTGGGGGACTGGCACTCGGGGTGAATTGTCCGACCTTTGAGTGATCCTCAGCAAGTCCTGCTAGTTACACTTACTTGAGCTGCATAAGTCCAAAGCAAAATGGCCCCACCAGGTCCCCTTCAGCCTTCTGGATGTTACCTGATGTTAACTAGTTGCTTGAGAGATGTCTTTATCAGAAGAGCTGATGGTTTAGTTGTGATGCAGATTTGTCTTTATATATAGATGAGGAAGACTGCAGTCAGCTGTTCTCACAGCACAGTTCTTTTCACAGGAGTAGACAAGTGGCAGTGTACTGAAAAACTTGGTGTTTCCAGGGGCTCATTGTTGCACACAGGTCAGCTTAATGTAAGGGAGCAGATTTCCCTCCTTGTAAGGAGTGACCAAATGCCACTTTATATCTAGGCTCCCTTTCTTAAAATGCTTGCAAATCTGTCTCTGAACTGATAGTAGCTTTGGACATTTCAGGATTGAAAGTCCTTTTGTCTAGATACAGCTACAATGCTGCTGGAAGTAGCCCAGAGCAGATGGCTAAACCTTTGCTCTTTTCAAAAACGATGTCAGAATGTTGCTTTTTTTGTTCCTTTAGAGGATGTCAGCCTGCTCTGGGGGCCAAAGATGCAATGTGATTCTTTGTCACGTATCAGGATTGACTGAGATAGTGGAGTTTCAGACCAGCTGTCTAGGCTTTGGTCAAATTTGGAAGTCCAGAGATTTTGGTCTTAAAATTTTTGACATTGGGTCTTTGTTCTATTCTATATAGACAGGAGAAGAAACTCTTCTGAAAATAGACTCAGTTGAAGAAGACAGCAATGTGACAGATATGGAGAGGGAGTAGTGAGAAAATGCTTGTAAGCTTATGTTGTTGAAAGCCAGCAGTGCACATGGCTTGATGGTTAAGAAAGCAGGCTTATCTTTAAAAACTGAATATGCGCACAACTTTTAAAGGTAATTAAATTCATCAGGAGTTTGATGTTCAGAAGACCGAAGTCTACAGCCTCCAAGCTTAATTGCCCTTGTGTAAGCATCCTCACTTCCTATGTATAGAAATGATGAAATCATGGCAGACAAGGTTCGCCGTATGCGTACACATGGATTAGATCAGGGTCTGTCTCAGTTCTCTTTTGGTAAAACACTTCCTTTATCTTACTCTTTTGTTTCTTAGTGCAGTTTGTAAGTGACCCAGAGCAGTGACTTGCACATGTGCTGTTTAGCAGTTGGTGCAGCTCAGTGACTTTATACTTCTGTGGTGCAAATATATTTTTTCCTGACGTTGGTGATGTAAGTTTGGATCTGGCTCTGATCTGGATTGTTACTGTGCCGCTGGAGATGTCAGTCTGGAGAGCATTTCTCATCTCAGGATGCCAACAGATGCCCTACTGGTGGTTTTGTTCTTACTAGTCAGGGCTGGATATCAAGGGCCCGTGAAATGTTTTGATTGTCACAGCTATTAAAATACCTAAACCAATAGAAATAAATGCTTAAGGAGTACTTGGGCATTTGTTCACAAGATTGTAACTGTCTCCAGCATCTTAACTCTTTGTGTGTGTGTGTGTGTGTGTAAATTACATTCCTATATTTAGCTGTGTGTGTAAGTAATCAATAGCGTTAAGTAGTTGCTTATGGTTCAGATGTTGAGGTGCCCTTTATGTTTTAAAGCTTAGAGCTCTTTGTAGAGGCTGCTGCACTTGTCTACACTTTAGTGCTTGTTTTTATACGATACTCGTACAGGCTTGCTATGGGCTTCTTTCTCTGTTCTGTTTTGCTTCGTGAGGTGGCGCAGGCAGTACTTAAAAGTGCTCATTTTGTAGAAGAAATGTTTCTTAAATGTTTTCTGTTTCTTCCTTTCTTCTCCCTACCTTTCCTTCCTCCACAACCTGCAGTTGCACAGGCAACTATGGTGATGCTTTTCTTTTTTTCCCCTACACTGAACTTTCTGGTCTATTTCTGCCTTTGAGTGACTGATTTCATTCTGCTAACAGGCTATGTTTGCCTGTGGCGTGTCATGAGGTGTCAAGGGTTAGCTGAAACATTGTTATATCAGTAAGTAAAATCCCTCCAAGTTCTCTTCTCCAACTTGCTGGTTAGTAGATATTGGTTAGCATGGCCAGTTTTCACACATGCTCACCAGGGTATCTTAGTTCCCTAGGGCAACACTAGCCCTGTGAGTTGTCTGTGGGCTAATGTTTACTGATGTTTGTTGCTTGAAGAAAGCTCTGAGGGATGAGAGAGCTATTTTGAAGAGGCTATACTGAAAGTAAGTAAAAGGTGTAGGGGAGAGAAGTATCTCAAATTTTCTAGTTCAATAAAATTCAACAAACTTTTTACAAGAAAGGGGAAGATGTTTGAGGAATAGTTCAAAGTGAGAGTTTCTCCTCTATTTAGCATGTTTTTCTGGTCAGATACTGTTGTCAGTTTGTGGGCTATGGAACTTCAAGGAAAAGTGATGGTGGTGTCAAAGGTGGAAGCAGGCAATAAGACATGTAAAGGATGAGGATGCGCAGACGGGAGTGCTGGTCTCTGTAGTTGCCCTGTGCTTGTTTGTTCAATAAGGTGGCATCTGAGGGGCTTTGATCAATTGGATCTTTCCATTAATTTGAGTAAATATTGCATGTTGTGACCTGGCCATTCACCACGAAACAATGATGCTAATCTGCTACCGTGCTTCATGGGTGCAAGGTTGTAAATGCAAGTATTGGTATTTAGGGTTTAAATCTAACAGTGACTAGTTAATAATGAATTGACAACCTGTGGAAATGCAATTGCTCATGTGGCATGTGTTCCTGTTGGGATAAACGTTGGAGTACCTATCAGGTTTTCTTTGGGAAGGATTCAAAGTGTGGAAATGAGAGAGGTGTTTGTGAGCCCAGAACCAGAGCCCTGCAGCACTGACTGCTTAAGTTGTTTGGTGCAGTGACAGAAAGTTGTAGCAAAGGAGCAGAGAAGTATCTGGATATGTCCTTAAGTTCTGAGCTTGTCTTTTTTATTGTGACAGTGCTTATGAACCTGGAGTTCATGGAGCAGAGAGAATAACTTGTCTCTTTTTTAGCTGAAATAGATACAAGCTCTCAGTTACCCTGTCCATAAACTAACTGCTTTCTCTCTTCATTTGCAGTTACATTGTCTCATATCACACAGCTGGTTCTGAGTCACAACAAGCTTACAAGTAAGTATATTCCTCTTTTCAGGCTTCATTGCAGGCTGTTGAGCAATATTTGAAAGTTGGCACTGCTAGTTTTGTTTGATTTTTAATAGACCACAATGTCACTGTTAAGAGTGCTTCTTGGTGTCACACTTCAGTTTTAATAAAGAGATTGAGAATATGACTTAGCAGACATGTTTAACATGCCTTTCCAAGGCATGGAAAGGCATGTTTGTTGGCAGAACTTGTGGTACTGTGAAAGACCAATGCTGGAGCAGTCTGTTCCTGAAAGACTGCACTCCATGGAAAGGACCCATGCTGGAGCAGTTTGTGATGAACTGTAGCATGTGGGTAGGACTCATGTTGGAGAGGTTTGTGGAGGACTGCCTCCCTTGGGGGCGACCCCACAGTGGAGTGGGAGGAGAGAGGAGAGCGAAGAATCCTCCCATCTGAGGAGAAAGGAGCAGCAGAAACAATGTGTGACTGCAGTCCCCGTTCCCCGTACCGCTGTGCTGCTGATAGGGAGGAGGTAGACAATATCAGAAGTGAAGCTGAGCCTGAGGAAAAAGGGAGAAGTGGGTGGAAGGTGTTTTAAGATTTAGGTTTTTATTTCTCATTACCCTACTCTGATTTGATTGGTAGTAAATTATATGAGTTTTGTCAAGTTGAGTCTGTTTTGCCTCTGACAGTAACCTGTGAGTGAACTCTCCCTGTCCTTATCTTGGCCCATGAGCCTTTTGTTGTATTTTGTCTCCCCTGTTAAGCTGAGGATGGGAGTGTTAGAACAGCTTTGGTGGGCACCTGGTGTCCAACCACACTCTTGGTAAACTTGACTGTTCTTTCTGTGGGGTTTGTAAAAATGCTACAGCTTTTGAAAGCAAATAGACTTCTGAGGACTTAATCTCCTCTTCCACATCACCTTACAAATATTAAACGTAGTTAAAGGGTGGGTTCGGCTGAACACACATCTGGCTGGGCAGGTAGCAAATATCTGCCTTGCTTTGAGGAAGAGAAGGCTGAAACTCCTGCAAGGAGACTTGAATTGCAGTAAACTTCACCGTCTGAGAACTGAGTTGGGGAAGGTTGACATACTTCAGTGTAAGGACCCATATTAAACGCTAAGTAATTGACCTATGTCTTAGCTGTAAGTCTTACCTGTAGACCTGACTAGGGGGAGGAAAAAGATACAGTAATGAGAGGTGTCCAAGGAGGATGTGTTCAAGTTGACTTTAACGACTGGAGAAAAATCCAGACAGTGCCATTTGTTTTAAGCAGTTTTAATTTTCAAAATGCCACTTTAAGGATTGGCACTACTCTAAATTTTTTTTACATTAAATCCTATTTTTTAATTACTGTTTTCCCCTAAAGTAGTCCTTAGATCAGCAGACTGCAAGTATATCTGTTCTTTCAGCTAAGGGATTCTGTGAGCCTTTCTAATTGCTGTGTTTGGGTTTCTTTTATGGGAAGGTAAAACCACTGCTCTCCTGAGAAGTAACTCATCAAGTCTGAAACTTAGTATTCTTTCACAAATTGATGTAGACATTTAAATAGACAGCATGCATTTTTAAAAGGCTAAATTTCAAGTTCATATTCTCGTATTTGACACTGTTGACCTAATCTTTTAAGCTATGTAATTAATTGTCTTAGCAGATAGTTCTTAAAATGGCTACGAAGCTGGTGGCAGTGACACTTGACATGCAACACTAAGGTCATATTAGCATCTTCTGCTAGTTTTCTGCCACTTAAATGAGTATTCTGCTTGCTGTTTTTTTCTGCTCTTTAGAGTAAATGTGTCTGTCTGGAAGAATAGATACATGTAAAAACTGGATATGCATATTTTCATGTAACCATATCATTTTTTTGCCAGTATAATCTATTAAAAGTAAGTAAAATTTCATTAACAAGTATGAGGACCACACTGTTAAATTCATCATACTGCTTCATATTCTTGTGGCAAATTTTTTGTTACAGTTTTTAGTGTGCCTTTCATACTGCTGGTACTTGTGCATTAACATGTCTAAATCGTTCATTATCAGAAGTACTCAAATCTACATTGATTTTTCTGGAGAGTACGAGGCTGGATTTTTTTTCAGCTGTCTGCTGCTGTTCTAGCAGGAGTCTTGAACTGGCTGCTTCTGCTCCAAGTAACTTCTGAAACAGTTGAGTTTGATAAGAACTCCTTTGTTTTTTCTTCAAAATCGGGAGCAAAACTCAATGGGATACTAAACAGCTGTGATTCTGCAGTCTTGTTGAGCCAGTTGCTGTGTAAGTGACAAACCTGGGGTGACTCCAGCGTGGGATCTGCTGTGACAATCTGCTTGAAAGCAGAGGGAGAAAGTGGGCATTTTTATTTTTTTTTAACATAGATATAGAATTGTAGAGTGGGTTGGAAAGAACCTTAGAGATCATCTCTTTCCAACCTGCTTAAAGCCCTGTCCAACCTGACCTTGAACACTTCCAGGGAGGCGGCATCCACAGCTTCCCTGGGCAACCTGTGCCAGTGTCTCACCACCCTCACGGTAAAGAATTTCCTAATGTCTAATCTTAATCTACCCCCTTCCAGTTTAAAACCATTACCCCTTGTCCTATCACTATACACCCTTGTAAGAAGTCCCTCCCCAGCTTTCTTGTAGACCCCCTTCATGTACTGCAAGGCTGCTATAAGCTCTCCCCCAAGCCTTCTCTTCTTCAGGCTGAACAATCTCAACTCTCAGCCTGTCCTCATAGGAGAGGTGCTCCAGCCCTCTGATCATCTTCGTGGCCCTCCGCTGGATTTGTTCCAACAGCTCCATGTCCTTCTTGTGTTGGGGACTCCAGAACTTGACACAGTACTCCAGATGGGGTCTCACAAAAGCAGAGTAGAGGGAGAGAGCCACCTCCTTGGACCTGCTGGCCGTGCTTTTGATGCAGCCCAGGATGCAGTTGACCTTCTGGGCTGCATATGCACGTTGCCAGCTCATGTCCAGCTTTTCATCCACCAGCACCTCCAAGGCCTTTTCCTCGGAGCTGTTCTCAGTCCATTCTCTACCCAGCCTGTATCTGTGCTTGAGATTGCCCTGACACAGATGCAGGACCTTTGAGCCAGTGTCTCCATGTAGTATACTGGGATGCTTTTTATTCCATCAGGTAGTGATTTAAAGCTATCTATCCCGTGTACAGCTGAGATGCAAAATTAAACAGTCATGCTCATGCTATTAGCCTGGATAGATTGTCTGATTTGACCCAGGTATCAGAACCCATTGGCTAACATCAAAGTAAAATAAATAAAAATCCTGACAAATGTTCCTCAAATCTGTTGAAACTTCGAGATGTAGAAATAGCTGGGCTGACTCAAGGTATTCTCCAGCTACTTAGTGTATGCACAATTTCATATCCTAGTATAATCACACTTAACATCCTTACTTAGTATGTTGATGAAATGAAACCAAATCCCTGTACTGCATCATGGATAGAAAGAGTGCTTGAGGAGCATTCAGAAGCTCACGTTAACTGTTGTTCAGCCTGAGGTGTGCAGAGAGAAAGACATGACTGGAAAGCAGTTTGGTACGTTAAAGCTTACATCAGCATTGACAACAGGTACGAGCGAGCGCTAGTCATCAGTATGTGCGCAGCTATTGGTATGGTTTGATTTCACTTATTTTTGAGATATGCTGTAAGTTTTTGATGGCTTGTAACTACTGTAACAGTTATTTGACTTACCTACCTGAGATGGTTAATTTATGTTGTAATCATTTGGAGAATCTGTTCAGAGATTCTAGCTTTTGTGTCATTATCCCGATGTACCTGAAGTCCACGAGCATTTCTGCTCAGTGGAAATACTGGTATTATATGATTTGTCCGTTAGAGGTCAGTGTTTAAGTATCTTTAGCAGGTTCTTTCAGGGGAGGAAGCTTATATTCCTGGTAGCAATTCAGTCTGCCTGGTACGTAGTAGTGAGCAGCAGCTTAGTTCTGCTGTTCCCCTCAGGCTCCTTAACTTCAGGTGATCCTGTGCTCACCAGCTTCACTATGTTCTTGTGCTGCCTTTAAGTGTCCTCAGGAGTTACCTGCTATTCATAGCACACTCCTGACTTTTTTCTTTTGTCCCTTTGCTCTCGTGCTGATTCCTTGCCCAATATTATCAAATGTCTGAATAATTGGGAACAATTATTTTTTCCCTCAGACCTCACCTGTATTACCTGATGTCACGTTCTCTGTCCTCCTCTCCCTTTCCTCTGAGCTGCTGTCCCTTACTGTCCTCTGCTCTTTCCACTGTTGCTTCCTTTATCTTCAAGTGTAATCCTCTCATCTTTAGTCCTTTCCTTTCTGTGAGGTGATCAATTGTTTTTTTGCTGCTGGTTCCCATTTCCACACACGAATTTTGTTTGAGTTAACTCTCTGATCCTGTCAGAATAGCTGTCTCATTGATCACGTTCCTTTGGCAGCCACGGGGTCACCCTTTATCATCGTTGTGCATTTTGCCTTCTTCCAGCAGAGTGGTTCCAAACTTTTCTTGTTGTTTTTCTACTTACACAGCTTACTGCTTCTTTGCTCTACCATCTCCTTCTAAATTATCTTGCTCTCTGTGCGTGACTAGCACAGAAGCTTGTCCCTTCGTTGCTGTTAACCCTCTTGACTGTGTCCTTGATCTCGTTTAATATGCTGCTAAAATCCCTTGGTGCCATTATTCTATTAGGGCATCTCCTTTACAAGTCACCTTTCTGGCTGTAGTGTATACCTGAATGTATTGGAGGTAGTCCAGAGGCACTTAGCAACACTGCATCTGTCTGTCTTGAATTCCTTCCCAGTCTAGCTGCTTTGTCTTCTCCAGACTGCTGAAACGTGTTATGGTGTCTCCCACTGGTACTGTCTGACACTTTGCATTTTGGTAGCAAGTTACTTACACAGCAAACTTGCTGACTTCTGGAGGGAACTGGATGCCCGCACACTCATTACTCTTTGTTGCGTCTTGTGTTCTCCACTCTGATTCTGCCTCTGCTTCCTTCTGGTGTCTCATTCCACACTGGTGTACTAACACATACACCT